GGGGGGCTGGGGCAGGAGGCCCTGGCTCCTCCTTCCCCGGCGGTCAGTAGGACCGTCGTCAGTAGGACCGTCTCTCCTTCGCCGATGGCTCTTCCGTCTGTGCCGGCGGGTGGGGCGGGAGGAGGGCGCGGGCAGGCGGCCCCCGTCATCCCCTCTCCGTTCGTACCCGTGGCCGTGGACCCCGGCGTGGGGCACCTGTCTGAGGGGCTTGGGAGCCCGCAGCCGCCTTCTCTGGTAACCTCGGTTGACCCTTTGAGGGACTCAGCGCCAGGCTTTACTAGGGAGGAGGTTGTCGCTTTTGGCGGGATCCCGGACCCCGTCTCGACGGGGAGACGGATGAGTGCTCGCATCCACGAGCTCCCGGAGGTGGATGATATGCAGCAGCGGTGCGCTATGAGGGCGGCCAAGCTTCAGGAGGCTGCATTATCTTCTGGTATGTTCATCAACATATCTAATTCTTTATTGCATTTTTCTAATGAGGAGATTATAAATAATGCAAACCAAATAGGAGTTTCACTAGGTGCTACGGATAGTGAGACTACCAATTCGATGAATGATCGGTTAGATTTGGAGGCGGAACGTGCCTTAAAGACTATTCATAATCTTGCGGCGGTTAAACCAATGAATGATGATGAGATTGATGCGTAAGGGGTTAGAGTGCTCGATAATCTGTGTGCGGATCTAGCACCCCCCAATCATGAGTCTGAGGACGATGATGTACCCCTAGAGAATGATGTTGGTAGTATAAGTGAACCCGGTTATGAGGACCGAGCGTCAGAGCCTAGTAAACCAAAGCGTAAGTGGAAACGGAAGATCTATCCCGATTCCGCAGTTCATAGGAGTGCTAGGATTCGAATCACTAAAAAATTCCATGATGAAATATGAAAGGAATCTTTTGGAATAGCAAAGGTCTGAAGGACTTGGCTAAAAGAAGGTTCCTTGCTGAGGCATCTTTAGAGCAGCGGTTAGATTTCATTGCTCTATCGGAGACTGGTAGAGAAAACTTTGCGCCCCAGTTTCTTTCTTCTCTTGTGGGTGGTATTGATTTCGATTGGCATTGCCTCCCTCCGCGAGGAAGATCGGGTGGTATCTTACTCGGTGTGAGATGCGATTCGCTTGAAGTCTGAAGTGTAATGATGGGCGACTTCACGGTGAAGTTTCGAGTCAGGTCTAAGATAGATGGTTTCAACTGGGCTTTGGTGGCGGTTTATGGTGCCGCACAGCCCGAGCTTAAACCGGAGTTTCTGGCGGACCTTGTTCGAATTTGTGGGTCAGAACAGCTTCCAATTTTAGTTGGAGGTGATTTCAATATCATTAGGAGGAGAGAGGAGAAGAACAATGATAACTTTGACGGCAGATGGTCGTTTATGTTCAGTACCATTATTGAAAGCTTGGATCTGAGGGAGATAGAGCTTTCTGGTAGAAAGTTTACCTGGGCTAATGCTCTGCCAAACCCAACTTATGAAAAACTTGATCGAGTTCTCGCGAGCGTGGAGTGGGAACAAAAGTTCCCTCTGGTTACGGTGCAAGCTCTCTCGAGGAGAATATCCGATCACACACCCTTGTTCGTGGACTCAGGTGAGCCGAACCACGTGGGTAACAAGAACACCTTTTCTTTCGAGATGTCATGGTTCGAACGCGAGGGGTTCTTAGACTTGATTGCCAGGGAATGGGATAGAGGTGCAGGAGGCACGACTGCGATCGAGCATTGGCAGAATAAGATTAGGCATTTGAGAAGTTTCTTACGGGGTTGGGCTAAGCACCTCAGTGGTGTGTATAAGATTGAAAAGGATAGACTCCTTTCTCTTATACAGGCCCTGGACATAAAGGCCGAATCCACGATTTTACTGCCAGCTGAGCTTCAGGTTAAAACTGAGGCGGAGAAGAGGTTGAAAGAACTGCTCCGCGAAGAAGAATTGAAGTGGGCCTTGCGTGCTAAAGTCCGCAAAGTGGTCCAAGGGGACGCGAATACTCAATTCTTTCATTTGATAGCTAATGGTAAGCACAGAAAGAAGCGTATCTTTCAGCTTGAACAAGATGAGGGCACTATTTTAGGACAGGATAACCTAAAAACATATATTACCGAGTATTATAAGCAGTTATTTGGACCTCCGGAGGATAATTGTGTGTCCCTCGACGAGTCCAGGACTGAGGATGTGCCTCAGCTATCGGCTGCCGAAAATGATATTCTGGTTGCCCTGTTCTCAGAGAAGGAGGTGTTTGATGCTATTGCACAGATGAAAAACAATAAGGCTCCCGGACCGGATGGATTCCCGGCCGAGTTCTATAAAAAGTGCTGGCACATTATTAACGGGGATTTGCTACCTATGTTCCATGATCTGTTCTCTGGACAACAACAACAACAAACAACAACAACAAAGCCTTTAGTCCCAAACAAGTTGGGGTAGGCTAGAGGTGAAACCCATAAGATCTCGCAACCAACTCATGGCTCTGGCACATGGATAGCAAGCTTCCACGCACCCCTGTCCATAGCTAGCTCTTTGGTGATACTCCAATCCTTTAGGTCTCTCTTAACGGACTCCTCCCATGTCAAATTCGGTCTACCCCGCCCTCTCTTGACATTCTCCGCACGCTTTAGCCGTCCACTATGCACCGGAGCTTCTGGAGGCCTGCGCTGAATATGCCCAAACCATCTCAGACGATGTTGGACAAGCTTCTCTTCAATTGGTGCTACCCCAACTCTATCTCGTATATCATCATTCCGGACTCGATCCTTCCTCGTGTGGCCACACATCCATCTCAACATACGCATCTCCGCCACACCTAACTGTTGAACATGTCGCCTTTTAGTCGGCCAACACTCAGCGCCATACAACATTGCGGGTCGAACCGCCGTCCTGTAGAACTTGCCTTTTAGCTTTTGTGGCACTCTCTTGTCACAGAGAATGCCAGAAGCTTGGCGCCACTTCATCCATCCGGCTTTGATTCGATGGTTCACATCTTCATCAATACCCCCATCCTCCTGCAGCATTGACCCCAAATACCGAAAGGTGTCCTTCTGAGGTACCACCTGGCCATCAAGGCTAACCTCCTCACACCTAGTAGTACTGAAACCGCACATCATGTACTCGGTTTTAGTTCTACTAAGCCTAAACCCTTTCGATTCCAAGGTTTGTCTCCATAACTCTAACTTCCTATTTACCCCCGTCCGACTATCGTCAACTAGCACCACATCATCCGCAAAGAGCATACACCATGGGATATCTCCTTGTATATCCCTTGTGACCTCATCCATCACCAATGCAAAAAGATAAGGGCTCAAAGCTGACCCCTGATGCAGTCCTATCTTAATCGGAAGTCATCAGTGTCGACATCACTTGTTCGAACACTTGTCACAACATTATCGTACATGTCCTTGATGAGGGTAATGTACTTTGCTGGGACTTTGTGTTTCTCCAAGGCCCACCACATGACATTCCGCGGTATCTTATCATAGGCCTTCTCCAAGTCAATGAACACCATATGCAAGTCCTTCTTTTGCTCCCTATATCTCTCCATAAGTTGTCGTACCAAGAAAATGGCTTCCATGGTCGACCTCCCAGGCATGAAACCAAACTGATTTTTGGTCACGCTTGTCATTCTTCTTAAGCAGTGCTCAATGACTCTCTCCCATAGCTTCATTGTATGGCTCATCAGCTTAATTCCACGGTAATTAGTACAACTCTGAACATCCCCCTTGTTCTTGAAGATTGGTACTAATATACTCCGTCTCCATTCTTCTGGCATCTTGTTTGCCTGAAAAATGAGGTTGAAAAGCTTGGTTAGCCATACTATCGCTATGTCCCCGAGACCTTTCCACACCTCAATGGGGATACAATCAGGGCCCATCGCCTTGCCTCTCTGGACAGCTTCACTTATTTCACTTGAATTTTGGAACTATCACACTGCTTCCTAAGAAGACGGATGCTGTGAGAATTGAGCAATTCAGGCCGATCTGCCTCCTCAATGTTAGTTTCAAAATTTTCACCAAGGTCGGGACTAATAGGCTCACACAGATTGCGCATTCTGTGGTGCAACAGTCCCAAACTGCTTTCATGCCGGACAGAAATATCCTTGAAGGGGTGGTCGTCCTGCATGAAATGCTCCATGAAATCCATTCCAAAAATTTAGATGGAGTAATTTTTAAGGTGGATTTCGAGAAAGCGTACGATAAGGTCAAATGGCCATTCCTCCAACAGTCATTGCGTATGAAAGGTTTTGATGAAGCCTGGCGCCGACAGGTTGAATCATTTACGCAAAAAGGTAGTGTGGGAATTAAAGTTAATGATGACATAGGTCATTACTTCCAGACACATAAAGGCCTAAGACAAGGAGATCCGATGTCCCCTATCCTGTTTAACATTATGGTGGATATGTTAGCAATTTTGATAGGAAGGGCTAAGGAAAATGGTCAAGTAGGTGGATTGGTACCTCATCTTGTTGATGGAGGTGTATCCATCCTTCAGTACGCTGATGATACAATTATCTTTATGGAGCATGACTTGGCCAAGGCGAGAAATATGAAGCTTGTGTTATGCCTATTTGAACAATTGACCGGGTTAAAGATTAACTTTCATAAGAGCGAGCTGTTCTGTTTTGGTAGAGCCAAAGACGAACAGGAGGCTTATAGGCAATTGTTTGGGTGCGAGTTGGGAGAGTTACCCTTCTCTTACCTAGGTATTCCAATCCACCATCGTAGGCTGACAAACAGAGAGTGGAAGTGCATCGAGGACCGATTTGAGAAGAAACTGAGTTGCTAGAAGGGTAAGCTCATGTCATACGGAGGCCGATTAATCCTGATAAATTCGGTGCTCACGAGTATGCCTATGTTTCTCCTATCGTTCTTTGAGGTCCCAGTTGGTGTTAGGAAGAGACTGGACTTCTATCGACCGCGTTTCTTTTGGCAGGGTGACGAGCTTAAAAGAAAATATCGGCTTGCTAAATGGGATATCATCTGTAGACCGAAAGACCAAGGGGGTCTCGGTATTGAGAATCTAGAAGTTAAGAACAGATGCCTTCTTAGCAAGTGGCTGTGGAAGTTCTCAACGGAGAATGATGCCACGTGGGCTCAAATCCTTCGCAGCAAGTACCTCCAGACAAAAACTTTGTCCCAGGTTATAGTCAGGCCGACCGATTCACCTTTCTGGAAAGGTCTGATGAAAGTCAAACAATCTTTGTTTAATAGGATGAAGTTTGTTATTGGAAACGGCACTAGTACACGTTTCTGGGAGGATACTTGGCTCGGCGAGACACCCTTGGCCATCCAATATCCGTCTTTGTACCGTATTGTTCAACGACGTGAGGTGTTCGCCGCATCGGTATTTCAATCTATCCCCCTTAATATTCAGTTCCGACGGACGCTAGTGGGCAATCGTTGTGAAGAATGGCTCCGTCTAGTTAGGAGACTGATGGAGGTCCAGCTTTCTCAACAACCCGATGAATTACGCTGGAAATTGACTAAGTCTGGAGTATTCACTGTTAAATCAATGTATATTGATGTTATTAATTCGAACTTCATTCCTACCTCCAAGCATGTTTGGGATGTCAAAGTTCCTTTGAAAATAAAAGTGTTTATGTGGTTTGTCCATAAACAAGTTATTTTAACCAAGGACAACTTGATAAAGCGTAATTGGACAGGACCTACTAGGTGTAGTTTCTGTGATCGGGATGAGACAATCAAACACCTCTTTTTTGATTGCCCGTTGGCCAAAGTACTTTGGCAGACGGTCCACATTGCTTTTAATATCAATCCACCGAATTCTGTTAACGCGTTATTTGGGACATGGCTTAATGGGATTGAGCCTGCATTAGCGAGACACATTCGGGTTGGAGTTTGCGCTTTGTTGTGGACTATCTGGACTTGCAGAAATGATTTGGTTTTTAACAGAATATCATATATCCATTTTTTGCAGGTTATATTCCGAACTACGGCACTGATCCGTTCGTGGTCGCTACTCACCCCGACGGAGGCCAGGGAGCATTTGGTTACTGGATCTTTCCGCTAGGAGATGGTAGCTCGGGATATCTTCAACCGGTTTGGATGGCGGTCATGTAATGGGATAGGCATTTAGTTTACCTATCTAGTTTTAGCCAGCCGGTTGTGGCGTCTTTTCATGGCTAGTTGGTGTTTCTAGCCCTTTTTGGCTCTGTGTGAGCTTTCTTTGCTTTTCTATTACTTTTGGAGACCTTGGAACCATGTTGGCACTGCTTCATTTGGTTAATAAGATGGCCGTATGCATCATTCTGATGCAGAGGCCGGGGAGTCCCCCCTTTTCGAAAAAAGTGGTTCTTTTAACCAAACTCTAGGAATTAAAACTCTGAGTTCACTAGCTAGCACATGAAACTGCAAATAACATTGTTAAGAGCACCTACTTGCATTTGATCAAGCCATAATGTTAGAGCGACAAGTGCAGCCCCAGCAGACAACTTCCGGAAGTCAGCTCCCCAGTCTTTTTCTATCACCCTGAATCATTCATATGGAAAAACAATTGATACAGTAAGAATATATTTAATAATGCCACTTTGGACTTTTCATATACTTGTACCATAAGGCAATAAGATCATGTCGTCCAAAAGTTTTGGCTAATTTCTACCAATAAACAAAACATATGGATAAGTAAAAAAAATGTCGACAAGATAAGACCTACTGTCATAAGAACTTCACAAACAGATGAAACAAAAACAAAAGTTAGACCAGACCATATTGTTCGCACGTCTCAACTTTGTAGCATCGAGCGTACAAATATAGTATCTATTAGGAGACTGGCTCTTTGGGACGAAGCTTAGTCTCTAGGGACAGCATGCCCAAACATTATGGCAACTTACTGTTCATTAGCGTATATCTTAAACCAACAGTTCTGATGAAAGATTTTAAATATTATGAGACTAGATCTACTTATCTGAACAGCTTTTGAATGCTATCCACAAAGTTGCTGTCTGTAACTATCTATCGTTTCTTTCTTTTTCTTGTGTATATCTGGACAAGAACTATCAGTGTGTGACCCACTTATTTTGGTGAAAAATAAAGTACATGAAATGCATATTTCAACGCAGAAAGTTAAGTACAGCTTCTAACAACAAAAATAAGAATCCAGAGTTAAAGATTGATGTAAATACCGAAAGATACTGTGACGGTATATGCTTCTATTTACTGCCAACTGGAAAATGTATGTAGCAGTTGCTCGACGCTCAAATGCCCACAACAGGTCTTCTAGTGCATTTACAAAATTCAGAGCAGCAGAATCTTCTAGTGTCTCAAGTTCTTGTAGAAAACTGTCAACCTCAGTTAACAGGGATGGAGTCCTCTCAGTCAGGAGCCTGCAAAAGATGCAAGAAGTTATAGCCAAATTTTGCCTGTGAAGTATGCCCCATCATTTTGAACATAGTCAAGTATGGCGTCAACCTAATAGGAAGGTCAAATCCACAATCCTGTAACGAGTTTAGGAGAAGAACGGCATCATCAGTCCGCTCACACAAACTAGCGGCTCTGATGAAACATGTCCAAACTTGATGATCTGGTTTTATACCATCTCTTTTCATTTCCAACAACTTTGTGATTGCAAGATTGTAGTCACCATTTTTCAAGTAAGCGTCAAAAACAGTGCTGTATGGTAAACTGCTGACTTCCAAACTGGAAGATTTCAAGCTGTTCAGCACTTTCTCAGCTTCAACTGGGTGCCCCGCAGTTCCATAAGAAGTCATGAGGATGTGCATAGTGGCAATTGTCGGTTCGATGCCGTCTTCTTTCATTGCTGCTAGTAGTTGCTCGGCTTTGGAATGGTTGCAGGCATCTCTGTACATCTTCATCATTACGTGATATAAAGATCGATTTAATCGATAACCCTTTGACCTTATTTCCTCAAAAAGCTGTTCACCTTGCTCCCATAGTTTTGCTTTTCCAGATGCTACAAGCAAGCTTTTATAGGATTCTAACCTGGGTGTCAAACCTCGTTTACCCATCTCATTCAAGAGAGTAAAACCTTCTTCAGGCCTCAAGTTTCTACTGTACATGACTATCAGTGTATTATACGTATCTTCATCAGGCTCTAGGCCAGCTTCCAAAATACTATGGTATACTTTTACTGTCTTATCAAAGTCTCTGTTCCCAGTATACATCAAAAGAAGGGTATTAAGTATGACTAGATCTGGCTTGAATCCTGCTGCCTCCATCTCCGCAACCATCAATTCAACATCCCTGAATCGTTTATTACGGCAGAGCAAGGAAATCATACTTCTGTAGATGTGCATGTTTGGCAGGTATCCTGCTTCCTTCATTCCATTATATATTTTCATTACCTCGAAAACATCCCCAGCTTTTGCAAAAGCTTCAAGCATAAGGATTACTGTGCTTTTGCTGATCTTGAAACCCATATCTTGAAGCTCCTGAACAACCACAAACAACTCATCTAGCCTGCCATCAGTAATCAATGCTCTCATCATTCCATTAATTGAATCAACAGTTGGTAGAGGGCCCTTTTTAATCATAACGTCAAAGACTGCCCTTGCTTGCTCATAAAGGCCACTCTCGGCATAGGCATGTATCAACGCATTCCAAATTCGCCTGTCAACACCTGCCTCTTGATTCAGTCCTTTCACGAAATTTTCCGCATGCTGCCACAGTTTTGTCTTCCCATATGCTTTGATTATGGTTACTCTAGATGAAAGAGTATTTAGCCAAACACCAGACTGTACAGCTTCATCCATCAATTGGCGAGCTGTTTCTGGGAAGCCCAATTTACAATATGTAGAGATCATACTCTCATATATCTTCTGGGAAGGCTCTATGCCAATAAACTGCATGTCGCAGAACACCTGAGAAGCTTCTGGCAAGAATTCAGCCTCTTCAAGGCATGTAATCAAGCACTCATACAAGTTACGATCTTGACCAAAAGATCCACATTTTAATGTCTGCATACTGCTGTACTCTTGAAGGGCAGCAGCAATCTTCTGGTTTTTGCACATAAGCATGATGGAACATTCAGATATCAAGTTATGGGAGCTGGGGACATTCTCCCGGATGCATTGAAGCAAGGAGAGGCCTTCTTCATGCTTTCCCATTGTTTCATAATCATCCAAAATGGATAGTAAACTCTTACTGTCAGGCTCATGTCCTTGTAGGCATGCCTTCTTTAACAGCTTAGCACCCTGAGAAATGCAACCCGCCTTGATGAGTACACTGTATACCAGTTGCCTATCCATTTGACAAACAACCTCCATGTCTTGGACAACTCCTTCAATCTCCTCGTGTTTATTTCCTTTTGCAAGTGCAACAAGCATAACCTGATACAAGGTGTCATCTGGCATATAACCATCCTTCATCATTGTCTGATACAGGAGCATCAGCTTTTTTGTCTCACCAGACCTTGCGATAATGTCCAGCATAACCAAATAGGCTAAACGATCGGGTTTGACACCTGATGCAACCATGCGATCAAATGTCTGCTCCGCCTCGTCCCGCCTCCCACCTTTGGCATATGCACATATCAAAGCACTGAAGGTTACCAGGGTTGGCTTTAACCCTGCATCTACCATTTCCTCCAGCACCTTCCCTGCATCAGAAATCCTATCCACCTTCCCCAGAGAATCAATCAAGACAGTGTAAGTCACAGCATCTGGAGTGCAACCTATGGCTCTCATCTCATCATACAGACCAAGTGCCAGGTCAAGCCTGCCCATTTTCCCATACATATGAATCATGGTATTATAAGTAATTCCATCCTTCCTGAACCCAGCCTTAACCAACTCCTCACACACACGCTCCACCGCGTCGACGTCTCCTTCCTTCGCAAAAGCATGAAGGAGAGAATTATAGGTAACTGCATCCGGCTTGAAACCCTTGTCTAGCAGCTCCATGAACATCTGCTCAGCCTCCCGTGCCGTCCCACACCGGCCATGAACTGACACCATGGCATTGTACGTCCACAAGTCTGGCCGACACTCTGAATCAATCATCTCTTTGAACACTGCCACTGCATCGTCTAAAATGGAACCTTGCGAGCAAGCACTGATCAGGGTGTTGTAAGTGATAACGTCCGGCCTGAGCCCAGCTTGCCGGACTTCGTGCAGGAGATCAAAGGCGGCGCCAGGGGCTAAGCACCCGGACTTGGCGCTGGCGTTGATCAGAGTGTTGAAGCTGACAAGGTCTGGCTCGATACCCTGGCCGCGCATTGCGTCAAGCAGCTGCCGGACGTCGTCGAAGCGGCCGGAGCGGGCGTACACGCCCATCATGGCGTTGAACACCTGCACGGTGGCGCCCTCCCCGGCGAAGCGGAGGAAGACCTCCTCCGCGAGCCCGTCCTGGCGAGCGCGGCCGAGGACCCCGAGCACGACGGCGACGACGCGGGGGCCCGGGCTCCCGTCGCCGCTCGCCGCGAGCCACTCGAAGGCGTCGAGCGCGCGCCGCCAGGAGGCCGCGCCCACGGCGCGCACGACGTAGGCAAGCTCGTCGGGGGACACCCACGCGCCGTCGAGCACCTCCGCGACGGGCGCGCCGGGGGGCAGCGCCAGGAGGCGGTCCGCCAGGTCCGAG